ATTCACAAATAACTCCAAGAAAAGATAGCAATACTTTTCATATCATCTGATTATGTGTCTCTTCTAGCACTTGGCCATTTTAGCTTCACTTGCTTATTCTGCAAACTATTTCTCTAGTACCTACAAATAGACATTCAAATATAGTTATAAAATGGTCATTTGCACAAAGGAAGGTATGAAATCTTGTGGGAGTTTAGGCTAACTTATTTTGATGATCAAGCCAACCCGCCCACCCTTTGTGAGTGTTCTGGGGATGTTCTGTGAGACCCCCCCCCCCCCCCCCTCCGGTTACTCAACTTTACTCGATTTCAAGAGGGAAGGAAATGATGTGTAAATGTGATGAGTTACATGTAATTTTTATAAAGTTTGTTAGGACGATGACTTGTGTAACATAATTAAAGACCTTACACTAGACCTATACTAAAAAACTTAGATTTATTTATTTATTTTGTTATTATCATCATCATTATTATTATTATTATTGTTGTTGTTGTTGTTGTTGTTGATGATGATGATGATGATGATGTTGCTGTTGCTGTTTACTAAATAAAATTGCAAGCCTACTGTAAATATAACATGACCTAACTCGTGCACATAAAATAAGAATAATGATAAGGGATGTATTGCCTCCCATCATGCACTCAATTTATAGTCTCCAACTTGACTCTTAGCAATAATATTTTCACAACATTTTGAATTGAGCTTTGAAAGCCTTCTTAGATTGCATTGATCGAATTTGCACCATTTGCCGTTTATCCCAAAATTTAACTTTGCCCTTCTCAAACTAATATGTCTGTCCCATACGATCTTATTGGAACTCAAGTATGTCTACTTCAACTTTCTTATAATTAATCTTCATTTTTACTTTTCCAGTTATTTCACTCTTTTCTTTCTAAAGTTTATGATTTAATCGTTGAATTGACAACTAGGATAATCCAGTTGACCTCGATTTTTGCATGGGTGACGTGGTCATTGGATTCCGGCTCCACTCATGTCCATGTAGACAAACTCCTACATACTTGGACAAACCGTTAGTAGCACGTTACTTTCTCCTATGGTGGAGGAGGCAATCACGAGCACCTCGACTAACAAATCAATCAATGGTATGAGTATATTTAGATGTGAGATGATCAGAAGACGTGAGTCACGTTAGTGTACGGACATCGAGGGTTGACAAGATAAAAAATGAGAGAGAACAACCCTACTTTGAGCGTTGCAAATATGTGACTTCATCTTGACAGTCGAAATGCCTCATCATAGGTGTCACATCTCCCATCCTACACCAAAAACATAAATGTTTCTGAAAATGTAATCACCTTATGGCCTAGATCTAACACCTACAAGACAGGTTGACAAGACTCATAGATGTCTGCTACAAAGAGATCACATCAATCAATCTTAAATCTTTGTACAAAATATCTCGGGGGAGAAGTGTGGCAAGAAGATGCCCTCTAGGGCTGCTTTGCTACATGTAGCACCTTTCTTTGATCATAGGAGGTCGGCTTCGCACATGACGCTACGTCTGAGGTGGTTCATCACTTTGACTACCTTATCTAGGTGCCTCGATTCAGCCAGGTAAGATGATGACATGGAATATGTCACTGAATTAATTTCCTCGTTGGCTGTCATATGATCCTTATTTGGACCCTTGTCAGATGGGACATAACAAGTCCACCACTCTTGCACGAATACATTGCTG